GTCCACAGTACTTGATTGTCGAGTTCGCGCATTATTGCTTAGATACCAATGATCGTGTACGCAAACTTGACAATCGACTACTGTGGACTTCGACCGAAAACAGGAAGTAAATACGGGTGTGTGAGCTGGCTGATTTAACATAATTTTTATTCATATCTTTCACATCTACATCAGTCAGATTGACCGTGGTAAATCTTAATAACACCACTCACATGAACTTGTTATGACAAATCAAGGATGTTTAGAAGAATGTCACTCTTTACAATCGCAGATTTCATGCAGCCGCCATTTTGAAATGGCTCCGGTGGGAAGAAAATCGGAAGTGTCGCCTTCAATCACAGGAGAGTCACGAATGTGATGGCGTATTGTTGTGTTTAATGTAGAAATTAGTTATTAAAATGTACAATGTTAGTGTAAATCGCATCAGCAGCTTAAGAATGGTAGTCCAAGCAAGGCATTGTTTATCTTTACTTCTGGGTTCTTCCCACCGGAGCCTCGCTTTCATTTTCAAAATGGCGGCTGCGTAAAATCACCATATTGTCTTCTTCTCAGGGCTGGCTTGGCAGAACTGCGGATCATAACACACGAGTCTTGTACATGACCATTCAGCACATAGTTATAGGGATCTAAATATTTAAATGCCCTCAGTTTTTCTTTACGCTCGGATAGGTGTAGAAGTCAGGCCACTCAGCCAGAGGTAACGATAACGTTAATCCTGTCAGATTGAGAGAGTGTGTACGGGTCAGCCAATCTGGTTCGGTCCATTAAAATTTACTTTTGAAAATAACAATCACGGTCCTGGACACTGAGTGACCTTGCACATTAAGAGAAAATCAGATTTTCTCCAGTCGTTGTTAAAAAACAAGCTAACAGAACTTGCAAACTAACCTTAGTGAAGCGGCCAGACTGATCGTTATGCCTCCACCTAAGCTCCGCCCCCCATAAAAACTTCACCATGTTTACCCACTGAAAAGGGTCTATTTGCCAATGTTTCTTGTTCGCAAGCAAATCTGTTAAATTCTTCCACAAAGTGCATTTACTCAAAATCAATTTGTGGTTTATTCTAAATGAATGTAACTAGAAAGAAAAGTTCATATTTCTTGTTTTGTAATTTTTTCAGTGCATTGACATTGTATCAATCCTTCAAAGAACCAAAGAGTTGAATAGCCTGTAAAAAAACACAAATAAAATTAAGCTATGCATCTTTTTTTACTATGTCATCACATTTTGTCTGATATCTAAGCTGCTGAAATATTTATTTGATGTTTCTTAAAACATGATTCATATATTTTTCCTTTGACGCATTCATGGTTGCCATTGGCTTATCAGCTCAACAATGACTCACTCGCAGTCAGTTGTTTGAAGTTATTTGATCATTGCTCAAAAGTATATTTCTGAGTGTGCACCCATATAAAAATGTTGTAGAACCTGAATTTGCCTTTTAAGGTAGATCTCCGCAAGGTTTTGTACAAACAAAATACATCAAGTCCATGTCTTGAACTTAAAATGGCACTAATATGTTTTTTTTTGGATATTACCTTTCATGTAACGATGTAAGTATACATTGTTATATCGAAATATTGCAATATAAAATGTGGCGAAATGTGTGACGTTATGAAAATGTAGCTAGCTGAATAAGATTTTCTTTTAACTGGCAGGAAACATGATCTAATAATGTGTCATCATGACAAGTGTATTACTTAACATGTTACCAACTTCATCTCCTCCCTACTGACAGCCAAGGCATTTGTTTTCTTCCATGGTTGTGTAACCATGTCAACATAGTGGTTTTTGAACAAAGATTCCTTGTGTGTGAGGTAAACATGATGAATGCCAACATTCCATGTCAATTATTCCGTCTGTGTTGTAGCTCGAATGCACTACATGGAAATGTAGGTCGTCTGAAACTACTCTGTTACGAATACGTAGAGCATCGCTTAGTTCCGTGATCAGTACAATATTAAACATTTTTCTTCTAGTTCTATTTTTTGCTTGTGTCATGAAATATAACTTTCTTTTGACATTTGCACTTTCATTGTTACTGTACGTTGAATAAGAGCCATGAGTCTCAGAACTATATTGTCCTTGTAATATTACTTGGCAGCATTGTTTTATGAGGAATGTGGGAAAATCTTAAGGATCGTTATCAAATATCAAACTTAAAGATCTTATCAAGTTATCTTTTTCTATACATTTGTGAAATTTATTTATGAATATAGCTTTTTATTGTATATAGTCAAGTATATTTATATAGCGCTTTTCACATAGATTGCATCAAAGCATCTTCACAGTATCAGTCAAAACATAGCCTAATAACAATGTTTGTTTCTTAGTAAAAAAACATCAACGTTTGGTATAGCTGATCAATGGTATTAATGATTGGTTAATTCATTTGAATATCCCCAACTGAGCAAGCCAAAGGCAACAGAAATAAATAGTTAAAGAATATAGTTAAAGAAATGCACTGCTGTTCAAAAGTTTAATAAATTTAATTCATAAGAATGTGTGTCTTTTCCCTAATATTAAAAATAAAACATATACTGATATTTGTCTAATGTCAGTCCTTTAAGGAAATAGCCTATATACGTTTCAATACATGTATTTTCTGAGAATTTTTATTTCAAGTTTTGACTGCAAATGTCATGTCCATAATGCCGGACTTCCCCAATTTTAAATAATTTATCCTCAACTAGTTTTGTGGTGTAGGTCTACGTATTTTATAATGTTAACTTCAAATAATACTAATAGCCTAATTTTAAGATAAGGCAGCATTGGATCTGGACGGTAAGGAGAATAACGCTGGGAGTTGGAAGAGGTGTGTCGCGATTCTGTAGGTTCGTGGATCTGAGTCGTGTGGCGAATCGCGATTTCGGTTTCATTTTGCATATCGTTACAGCCCCAAAGTTAAGTACTACTTAGTTATTTTGGTGAAAGTAACTCAAAAGTAATACATGAGTAATGTAACGCATTACAATTCTGAGACAGTAATATTGTAAGGTAATGAATTACTTTTAAATAACAGTAACAAGTAATACCTAATGTATTACAGTTTGGAAGTAACTTGCACAACACTGGTTTAGGGTAGCTTTTCCTTAATTGTTGAAAATATGTGTATTATTATTATTAATCCTATATTTCATAATGTTTTTATTTTATATTTTATTACGTTTTTCTGTCAGCAACTACTAATGCATTGTTTGTTTAACTGTATGTTTTATTATGTTTCTATATTCGTGAAGTTCTTTGAGATACTTTTTAAAGGCGCTATATAAAACAAAGTTTATTATTATTATTATTGTCTTGACATGCAAGAACCAATTAGGTTTATTATCGTGTTATGCAGCACGTTTGAGCTTCAGCAAGAATGAATGAAGTTATAATCGGTGAAGTTTGTTCTCGTGCAACAAGCAGGTTAGGTTGATCAGTTTATGTTCGCTGATCAATATATGAGAATAAAAGCCTAAATGAAATTTGTTCATTATAAAAAGCGATTACATCTTTTTTTAAAAAAAATTGGACTAAACCACTCAATTCATATGGATTAGTTTTATCTCTTTATGAACGTTTGTAGCATCATGTGTCGATGAAGGGACCGAAAGGTATCAGATTTCACCAAAGACTTCTTCATTTGTGTTCCGAAATTCTTACAGGTTTAGAACGACTAATGACATAATTAATTTTTTTGGGTGATTTTATATATATATATATATATATATATGTGTGTGTGTGTGTGTGTGTGTGTATAAAAAAAATTAAAAAATTATAATAAACTGGCTGAATGTTCAGCAGCAGCAATTATTCCAGTGTTCAGGGTCACATGATCCTTCTGAAATCATTCTAATACTGAGTTTATTTATTTATTTGTTTGATAAATAGAAAGTTCAAAAGAACACTTGAAATAGTTTCTTTTTTTTTTACTTGAAATAGAAATATTGCTGACCCTAACCATTTCAATGGTAGTGTCAATCAAAAAGCTTTTTTTAAGAGATATCTCTCAAATTGTGAGCCAAACTTTTTATGATCTTACGTTTAAGAAAACTGATCTGCAAAACTGATTTTTTTTTTTTATTCGTAAACGTGTTCCAAACTACATTTTACAGTTCGCACACATCTATTTTTAGTCACAAATGCGAGTGAAATGGTCGCACTGTCAAGCCCTGTTAGGGATGTTTGTTCTGTCTCAAGTGTGCATTCTACTTTAGAAGTATTTCTCAAGCTGAATTTTGGTTAAACAAATAAAACACAAGACTTTTTTCGGTATCTGCATGATCCACTTCATGCCCCCAAACTACCACTCCACAACTGTGGTTTTCCTCCGCTACTAGAGCCGAGTGCTAATAGTACCTGCAGAGAACTCCATACGTACACGCACAACAGGGATTTTTATTTCTTAGCATGCTTTAAGGTTATGTTTGGTTTATCATCAAGAATTAGTTAAACATTTAGTGTGAGGCTTAGGTCTAAGAGCATATAATAGGACGTATTGGTCCAAATAGCCTGTCGAGTTGTATCGTATTGTTAGAATTGACCTGTCCTGTCAAGCTTGTAACAGTGTTCTGGTGAGACTGAATAGCCTGTAATTTGGTGGGTGGTCAAAGGTGCCCTGCTCTCTCAGCTTGAGAGTTCTCTCTCTGTTGTCATTGCTCATATGTGTGTAGCGTAAGATAAGATATTTTACCCACTACAAGAAGTGTCCCCATTTATGTTTGCCATCAAACAGTAGACAGTAGAGACAGACTTCTTTTTCTAGGTTGGTCATCTTTGAGATTTTTACACTCCCTGCTCTGTGCCATTCATCGGTGGAGAACTGAGCTCTGTGGAGAACAAACACAAACATGCTTCTATAGTCTCTATTTAAAAAAATGGGATAGTGGTTGTAAGTAGCTTAAGTCTTCATACATTTTGGATCCAATGTAAAAGTTTCTGTTGAGGCTATTATGTAATTTTTGCATTGTAGCCACTCTCATTATGTCTTTATAACATTCTCCACAATGTTGCAGGTACAGGAACCTTTGGAAGGGTTTTTCTGGTGAAGGATAAAAAGACAAGAGGTTTCTTTGCTCTGAAGGCGATGAAGATCCCAGATGTTATTCGTCTAAAGCAGGAGCAACACGTACATAATGAGAAAGAGGTTTTGACGGAGGTGAACCATCCTTTCCTTGTCAGACTGTGAGTGAATACTACACAACATTGACAAATAGGCTAACAGATTACTATTTTTACTCTATTCTCTCATAAGCATACACAGGGTTATGATCTATAGACATTTCAGTGTGCTCTATAAACATAAACCTGCTGAAGTACCAAACATATCAATGTCAAATGTTGTTTGAATTTTCTATCGTTAAACCTCTTATTAAATATTTCTAAATATACGTAGATACTGATCTATAGTGGTTCTCAACCAGATGGGCCTCAAGAAATTTCTTTTTCAATTCAACCCCTCAACAACTTTTTTTTTTCTTTTCTTTATTTGAAGAACCAGGGGTATATTAGAAAAAACGGGACATATGAGGTAGCCTAATTTGTATGACAAGTATGAGTTCTAGACCTGGAAAAGGTCTTATAATGTATAGCATGTCTGCTCATGGCCATTATAAATATGACCAAATCACATGTAAATACTTGGACATTTTTTTCAGGTACTGGACGCATCATGATGATCGCTTGCTGTACATGTTGATGGAATATGTGAATGGTGGTGAACTCTTCAGCTATTTACGCAACCGAGGACGTTTCAGTAACAGCACCGGAATGTTTTACTCGGCTGAAATTGTGTGCGCCATTGAATACCTTCACTCCAAAGAAATAGTCTACAGAGATCTGAAACCAGAAAATATACTGTTGGACAGCGAGGGGCACATTCGACTGACAGATTTCGGGTTTGCTAAAAAGCTCACAGAAAGGTATGTTTTTATTGGTTATCTATTGGGGGGGGGGTCGGGTGTCGGGTGTCGGGTGTCGGCAGCCGGAGTGAAAAGGAGAGAATATGAGGACATAACCCATAACTGGCTGACGTGCGTACAGAAAGTTCCTTTCAAAGTATCAACAAGGACGTATTTGCGTTCAGCCAGAGAATGTCTAATTGGTTCAGCTTGTTCACCTGCTCAATTTCGTATCTCAGTCGCTCTCGCGCTGGTATCGTTGTCAGTTGACAAGAACATCACAGTTAGGTCACCAGGGCTGGGCGATATATCGATATATTTCAAATTTGCGCTATGATCCTTGCTCCAAGCAAGCTGCTGACTGCAGCTATCGTGCATTCTGTCAGTTGCAGTCCTCCTGACACCTCTGTCTCAACAGCATTAGTGTACAACGCGACAAATACTCGCAGAGGAACGGCTACATCAGTTCAGCGAGTTCACAAAAGTTAATTTGCATCTGCTTTAAAGCCTTGCCGGTTAAACATGTCATTCACTGCTGATGCGCTGTTCTGAGCGCGAACACCCGACGTGCACATGCACTAAAAGCTTGTAACAGCGCCTGGTTGCTGGACTAAGTTATCTTTCGAGTAGTATTATTTCGCTAATACTCTCAAATATACACAAGGTTTACATAAGAACATTTGGTTATGTCCAGGGGTTAAAGTGGTCCGGAACTGCGTTCCGGCCCCTCAGATAAATTAATAAATAAATAGATTAATTAATCTCAACGAATCTTGCTTCTCCCGATACATATGGACCAACTTCCCTTCCTCCCCGCTGAACGCGAGCGATAAACACAAAGTATAAACTATATAAAGTATAAACTGTATAAAGTATAACAGCATAAAGTATAAACTAGCCTATATAAAGTAGCTATAAACGCCTCGTCCGTTTGGAGAGGTGCGCGCGCGCGCTCGTGCGGATGCGTCTAGTTATACACAAGGCTTTACAAATGCTTGAAATGCACTTGCGGTGGTTGAGCGCGGTAAAGTTAGTTTTAGGTCCGAAATATTTCGCCTGACATTTGTTTTCCCTATAGCCGCTGTTCTAGGGTCTTACAAAGAGATCAATAGCAGGATTAGTTTTAACAAACCATTGTATATCGACATTAATATTCGTTCATTAATATTCAAAAATCACCTGCGTGCATTTAATGCTGCATAGAATCCTGAGAATGCTTTCACGGGTTTGCACAGCGCATGATGAGGGAACGTCTGCCAATTCCACCAAATAATTTGTATTATTTAAAATTACTTTTTTAAATTCCAAAGCTTGTATTAGGTGGCAATACCTGGTAGCCTTGAGTAAATTAACTTGTTTAAGATAACGATTCATGAAACATATAATTATCAATTATTTACTTCACTGACAGATGAAAATGAAAGACTATCAGTCAAAGTTCAGGGGGTTTAGGAGTTTAGGAGGGGAAGAAATAGGGCAGGATAAGGAGACTGAGAAAAATAAAGATGTAGATGAGAAGAGAGCAGGTATAGGCTATTGACAAAATAATCGAATGCCCACTGACATGGTTTTAAAGCTATTTATTATCCTTTTTTTGGCCTTCAAAAGTCTTAAATAATTTGGTCAGAGAAATCAAAATTTTCTCGGGGGAGGCCAACTGAAAGCAAACCGAGAAAATTGAGAGAAATCTGCTTGTCAAATGCTCCGTGTATATTAGACGTGTCGCGTACAGGTCTTAAAGTGACAGTAGCCCTAATAATAAAAATGCAGCCGCTTGTTCTTAAAGGGATAGTTGACCCCAAAATAAAAATTCTGTCATTATTTATTCACTGTAATGTTGTTCCAAACCTGTATTAATTTATTTCTTGTGCTGAACAAAAAAGAAGATGTGGGTAACCAGACAGTTGCTGGTCCCCATTGACTTCCATAGGGAAAAATTTAGTATGGAAATCACTGGGGTACATCAACTGTTTTGTTACCCACATTCTTCCAAATAACTTAAACAGAAGAAAGAAACTTATTCAGGTTTAAAACAACTTGAGAGTAAATGATGACAATTACAATTTTTGGGAGAACTATTAATGTTAATTAAACAACAAAACACAGAGGAAAATAACTCACTGCTCTTGAGAACTGTAATAGTAGCTTTAATAAGAATCAATGTGTCATTTATACAGTGAAGACTATATTTGACTTTGATTGAACAATTGCTCTCACTTTGCGGAAAAGATATTGGGATATATAATGGGTCGGGGGGGGGGGGGGGGGGGGGGGGGCGTATATTTTCCTGCTTTTTTGTCCTTAGCCAATCACATGCCTGATTAATCATCAATGAAAATTAAAAACAGGTTTATTTCAAAAACATTGTTTGACAAAATAATAAAAGAGGTGTTGCATATCAGGTGGCTTGAAGACGGTGGGTAATATTATCCATTTTGCAACACGAACTGGAGGTAAGCAACAGTAATTTGTAGCTCGTTTTTATTTTATTTTTGCTGCAGATGAAATGGTTAAACTTCTGTTTTCGCGCAGGTGCAGTGAGGGAAAAAAACACTGAGTTTAGGGCAATCGGTTCGTAGCTTTGCTTCAACTGTGCGATATAGTCACGAGGAGCGACCAAAATTTCTGACATGCCAGAAATTCATCCGACCATCCGATTGTCGATCGTGAGAGGCTAATCGCCTCTCGTTTCTCCCTGTACACTGCACGAACACTGCACGACAAACGACGCACGACAAAGCTGAAAATCGGTCCGACACGAAAATGAGTCGCACGAGTCAGAATTCGGCTCAAAATCGGACGAAAATCGCACAGTGTATGCCCGCCTTAACGCAGTGCTGTTTCACTTGCTCTAACAGTTACACTATCACACTAAACGCCATTTGAGTTGTAGAGTGCTCAAAGTCCAAAAGCCAATAGGCTATGTGCACAACCGTAGTTTAGAACTTCCGCTTTTGTCAGAAGTTGGCGTATCAGTTTCCGGTCTACGACCGGTCATCTGCATCCACTAATAAACAAAGAAGATGAGTGCTGCTGTTGTACGAAAAAAAGAGTTCTTAAACACATTTAAGTTTCTTAGCACTGCAGTGGATCTAACCTCCGTTTCACACCCGTTTGCAGTGTGTGTTGCGGTGCAGGAGCAACGCGTGCTGTTAGTGCGTTCACATAGGCTATTATGATGCGTTTTACACAGTGAATAACTGATCCGCCGCTGTACAACAAACACATACTTATTATTTTTATTTAAAGTCCAGAAGTTATGCTGCAACTTATTTTTAAAAACAAAAAGTTGTGTCAGCATTGCGATTCTTAGTATGCACGTTTAAACACAATTTAAACAATGTAAGTTACTCCATGCATTACAAGTTGCTCAAGCAAGTGGTCAAATATTTCCTATATTAAAATCGCAAATAATTTAAATTAAAACTTGAAATTGACAAAAGCAGCTGACTTGCCTTTTCTTTTGCATCTTAATTTTAAAACAATATATCTTGCATGTCACAAAGCTTATTTTTCCACTTCCACGATCGAGACGAGTTCATTCTGTCGCCTGGTTGAAGTAAATTGTAGTTTTCCTTGATTAAATGTGCATTTATGGTGAGATTACTACATTTTATTTAATTAAACGCATTTATGGTGAAATTACTACATTTTCAGGTCAATCATTTTGACCACGTTTGCAGCACAGCAGAAATAGATTCGCTGTGGAAACGATCGCTGTGCTGCTGTACCACACCAGTGAAAAGTGAAAGCCCTAACCTGTTTACATGGTGCGTTAGGAGACTGCTGTGCGGCACTTGCTCTGCTTCAAGTCGCTAACAACCATTTGAGCTTCTACTGCTTCCTGATAAACACCAACCTTCGTGCGCAGTGGCTGCACAAAATAGACATTTTGATCGACGCGCAAAAAATAATAAAAATATTAAGTATGTGTTTGTTGTACAGCCGCGGATCAGTTATTCACTGTGCAAACGCATCATAATATCATGTGAACGCACTACAGCACGATCCTGCACCGCAACACACACTGCAAACGGGTGTGAAACGGAGGTTAGATCCACTACAGTTCTAAGAAACTTAGATCTGTTTAAGAACTCTTTTTTTCGTACAACAGCAGCACTCATCTTGTTTGTTTATTAGTGGATGCGGATGACCAGTCGTAGACCGGAAACTGATACGCCAACTTCTGACAAAAGCGGAAGTCCGAAACTACGGTTGTGCACATAGCCTATACCGTAAAGGATTAGAGCTGCAGACAGTTGTGTAGGTTCTCATATTATTGCTGCGTTCACGTGCTATGGAAAATAGGATATTTTCCACTTGTGAACTGGTATTTACCAGTGTGTTGCATTCAAGTGCTTTTGTTGTCGTAATCAGTGTTGTGCAAGTTACTTCCAAACTGTAATACATTAGGTATTACTTGTTACTGTTATTTAAAAGTAATTCATTACCTTACAATATTACTGTCTCAGAATTGTAATGCGTTACATTACTCATGTATTACTTTTGTGTTACTTTCACCAAAATAACTAAGTAGTACTTAACTTTGGGGCTGTAACGATATGCAAAATGAAACCGAAATCGCGATTCGCCACACGACTCAGATCCACGAACCTACAGAATCGCGACACACCTCTTCCAACTCCAGCGTTATTCTCCTTACCGTCCAGATCCAATGCTGCCTTATCTTTAAATTAGGCTATTAGTATTATTTGAAGTTAACATTATAAAATACGTAGACCTACACCACAAAACTAGTTGAGGATAAATTATTTAAAATTGGGGAAGTCCGGCATTATGGACATGACATTTGCAGTCAAAACTTGAAATAAAAATTCTCAGAAAATACATGTATTGAAACGTGTATAGGCTATTTCCTTATAGGACAGACATTAGACATTAGACAAATATCAGTATATGTTTTATTTTTAATATTAGGGAAAAGACGCACATTCATGCGTGACAAAAAAAAATAGGAGGCAAAATATATTTTTTGTAATTCTGTTAATTACACTGCGCAA